ATGCAAATTATTTTGTCAAGGCGCTCTTCCCCCGCCGACCCAGCTTAAATATACGCTGCCAAGCCTGGTGGTGTTTCATTCACACGCTGTCTTTCCGACAGACCTGTTCTTCACCTGAGGACGGTTGCTTGCGTTGTGGCCGAAACGTCGTGAGAATTATTTTATTATGTTTTATTTTTATTATTTTATTATTTCCCTACTACGTGACTTTACCGAAAGAACCAAGAAGATTTATTTATTTGGTGTAGCCCTGTGAGCCATTCGGCTCTTGAATCGGGTGCAACCGCAACAAACAAACAAACGTGAACAAGAAAACATCTTAAAGTGACTGTGACTAAGTGCAAACAGAAAATCAAAGAAAAGACAGCAAAGTATCGTGAAGGACTTAGCGAGGAGCCTAGAGCGGTGGTCTTCACTCTTTTTCAGTGGCAGCAGCGGCAGCGGCGAGGGGGAGGGAGAGACACTTTGGCCGATGGGACATCGTCAGTAGCGCGTGGGTGCCCGGCACACCACATCAAGCCACCGTAGGGGGTGGGAGGGGTTGTAACAGCAGCACAACGATGATGATGTGGAAGGAGGGGTGTTTGTCACATTTGTGTATCGCCGAGCCAGTAGCGGCTCCTGCAAAATCTCTCGGGGGGGGGGGGGGGGGGGGGGGGCAAATGTCTGGATGATTGATAAGGATAAGGTTCACCCATGCAATGGATACATTAACAGCTTAAGCATGTAAAGGCAACTTCACTTATTTAATATTAATGAAAAATAAAGTGACTCTTGGCATACATCTCCTTGTTTGTTTCTATACTCACTATTATTACAATCCACTCAAGTTTCTTTTATTAAAGATTCCACTAGGTGGCGACAACTAATATTGTTGACTGAAACGTGCTTACATATGATGACGTAAGCACGTTAGTGCGAGCCCTCCCGGAAGCCATAGAGAATGCATTGCAGCGCCCGCCGTTCGAAAAAAAGCATCTTTGAATGTAAGTCTATGGGAACACTCTGGGCGATTCTCAGCCGGAGTGAAATCGCCCAAAAAGAGGCGGTACTCCACAGAACGTGACATGACGCTGATTAGACTATATCCAGAGGCACAGTAACGGCTGAGATTGGTGGTGCGTCGCCCAATCGCCCTGATGAAGAACCCGCCCCTGCGTCGAATGCGGGATGGGGCATGTCAGGGGACCACCAGCTGGCCGTGGGTCGTTACATTGAAGAAGGACCACTGGGTTAGGCCAGCAATGAGACAAAGAGCTTGCGAGAACAACAGCTGATCATGATTTGTAAGGCTTCACAGCGAGCCATGGGAAGCATGAATTCAGTGGAAATAAAGTTGACGATTGGGGGGAGAAAGGTGATGAGATATGGATAAAATTTAAATATTCGTGGGAGGAGGTTATAGGTTTTTGTTTGACCATGTAAGGCCCACTGAGCTATATAGCCCGCTTTTGGAAGCGACCTAAACACAAATTATAGCGCGATGAAGTGGCTTATCACGTGGAAAGGAACAGCAGTCATATACTCTAAACGTGCTTCTAAATGTGGATGGAAAAACTGGAGGGCCTGGAGAAAAATCAATGCGACCACGTGGAGAGAGAGACACGCAAACTCGAAATATACAGCAGCAGGCATCAGGGTCGGGATTGAAACCCACGACCTCCTGTGAACCAGGCGAGGTAGTTAACATCTCACAGCCACCGTGATGATGATGAGGGAGAGAGAGACACACAAACTCCAAATATACAGCAGCAGGCGTCAGGGTCGGGATTGAACCCACGACCTCCTGCACACCAGGCAAGGTAGCTGACATCTCCCAGCCACCGTGATGATGATAGCGAGACACGCAAACTCGAAATATACAGCAGGCGTCATGGTCGGGATCTAACCTACGACCACCTGTATACCAGGCGAGGTAGTTCACATCTCGCCACCGTCAGATATCTATGGCAAGCAATCGTATATATCCGAATGATGCTGAGAGAATATCACACCTGTTAACCCATCACGGTTTATCCCTAATTCTGGTACAGGGAAATTGAGTTTTAAGTCCATACGGCGTACTGCCGTTTCACTACGGATACGAAACATTGTATCTATTTGTTTGTGTTTGTCCCTTCTGATGGTGACTTTGTAGGATGAACTTTGAGATGTATAAGGGGCACGGGGTGACCAATAAGGTCTGAGTTGGTCTGGGGGCGTCTCCGAGAAACCCCGTGTCTCATCTCAACACATCTGAAAGTGGACCCCCCCCACGCCCCCCTCCCTTCCCCAGTAGCGTGTCCGGTTTGCTTCTACGTTTGGAATTACAGTATTCCCTTTCGAATGGTCTTCACAGCTATCGTGCTGTGACGGTTCTTCACCTGAAGACGGAAGCTTGTGTTGCCTCCGAAATGTCGTGAGAATTATTTGATTGGTTTATTTTTATTATTCTATTATTTCCCTTCTACGTGACTTTACCGAAAGAACCAAGAACATGAATCCCTGCAGTCACGAAAGCTTTAAATCGAATTTTTATTATGTTTTATTTTTAGTATTTTATTATTTCCCTTCTACGTGACTTTACCGAAAGAACCAAGAAGATGAATCCCTGCAGTCACGAAAGAAGCTTTAAATCGAAACGAAACAAAGTGTTACGTGCGAGCCTTGAAGTTGGCGCACTATTTTTAGTCGGGGGGGGGGCGCTGTGCCCTGTTCGGAATGCACTCGTGGAGGGATTCCTGAGTGATCCGTCCCCTGATTGGGGAGCGCTCCTGATTGGTCGAGACGACCTAGAACAGCGTGCACACGCACGTGCACATTTTTTAAATCCTTTATATTAAGTTCGCTTGCTTGCGTGCTTGCTTGCTTACGACCGTGCAAATCTTTCGGTCGTTTTTTAACCCACTTCCCGTGATCCAATCGAGCTGACATTTTGCACACAGACTCGTTGTGCGAGACAATTAATGTTCGTGAAATTTTTTTTCCAAAATTTTACACTGTTTAGGGAAAACAAATTAAATATTTAATTACCAATTGTTTAATACTGGCAGACAATCATCTGACCCATAGGTGGCAGCCACCTCAAGCCAGAGGACGAGAGGACTCTAGCCGCCAGGCATATAAAGGATTTATAGTGAAAAACTTTGTTTTTACTGGTTATACTTATTTGTTACTGCCACCTCCATGTCCACTGCTGGATGATGAACGCCACCACATGTTTGTGTGTCAGTCACGAGGGTTGTTTGGCTGGCCATACTTCACCACGCCAACGAGTGGTGCAGGGAGACAAGCTCAATGGCTGGTTAGGATATCGCCTTGCCACTGATGTTAAACGTTGCCAGGAATATGACTGGAAAAGAGTCACTGGGTATGTAGGGCACTAGGCTAACTGACCACTGCGCCATGATTCTCTACCCCACCACGGACGTATTGACTCGTCTGATTTTTCGATACGTACATTAGATGTTCTCATGTAATATCATACCTGTCAATCCGTACGGTTTACCCGTATTTTTGTACAGGGAAATTGAGTTTTCAGTTCAGTTTCATTTATTTGGTACGAGCCGCCTTTGTCTCCCCAGTGGCGATGTTCACACAGCAGAGCAGTTACTCGTTTGATGCTGAGTCGACCTAGGGGAGGCACAGGACCGGTAAAAAATAATCGTCACCGATGGTGGCCGTGAGCGGGAATAGAACTCGGGTCGCCGGGTTCGTAGCGCAGCGTAGCGCTACCCGCTACACTACAACGCGTCACGTTTCCACGTGCGCGGGTCACGTGACAGATGTGACGTCACAGCTCACTTGCCGTGCAAAAAATAAATGCATTATTGAGCTCCCCCCCACCCCCAAAAAAAGTGTTTTTATAATTGTTGCATGGTGTACAGTCTGGAAAGTACCCACATGGCAAATTTCAAGTTTGTTGCATGTCGGGAAGTACGCTAAACATTTAGAACAGGTGGGGAGGCGGCGGGGGGGGGGGGTACAAACTTGGAATGGCACTGGCTAGAAACATGCAGGGTCACGTGTGCAGGATGATGGAAATGTTACCAAGACAGGGGTTGGAGGGACACCGAGGTCGGAAACAATAGGGGAATACAATGGCAGATCGTGGTGGTGGTGGTGATGAACAAGGCTCAGGAAAAGACTTTGAACATCATGCATCAACTATGCAAGATGCAGGAATCTGAGAAGAGGCAGAATGGTGGCAGCATCAGTCTGGGTGTGACGTCTTCAGCTTGATGTTCTACGTTTACATTAAAGACCAGTTTAAGATTTGGATAACCCAAATTTTGGGGCAATTTCGTGTGTTTGAATGTATACAATTCGAATAATTGTTTATTCTCAAAAGTAATTAAACAAGTTAAATATTTGAATTATATTAAAAGCTCCATAAAAAAACAATGGTATTTATTGGATGTCACACGACTTCCCTTTTGGCTGGAAGTGACATCATAGAAGCGACATCATAGAAGCGACATCATTCCCGTGATGCCATTTTCCATGCCACTCTAAATATATATTTTTTAATTAATCTGAACATAGAAAACTCATCCCTCGTGATCACACAATGCAAACACTCGTCTCGTCTCCCTGCCCAAGCGAGTGCGGGGCGCTGCATCTTGATCGGGGGAATCCTGTGCTAGTGGTGACAATTCCACATTCCTATGGCAGAATTCAACCAGACTTGAGTGAAGTGTCTTCTTGGTTCTTTCGGTAAAGTCACGTAGAAGGGAAATAATAAAACATAATAAAATAATTCTCACGTTTCGGCCACAACGCAAGCAGCCGTCCTCAGGTGAACAGGTCTGTCGAGACGGCTGCTTGCGTTGCAGCCGAAACGTGAGAATTATTTTATTATGTTTTATTTTTATTATTTCCCTTCTACGTGACTTTACCGTAAGAACCAAGAAGATGAATCCCTGCAGTCACGAAAGCTTTAAATCGAAATTGAGTGAAGTGGTTTCAGTGCAAAGTATAGTATACAGACCTAACTTAAGATCAGCAAAAACAAGAGTCGATAGCATGGATTGGATGACTTTAACTTTAAAACATAACTTTCATCAACATTTATATACAAACATTTTCCACTTGTTCAAGCAGGGTGTGACTCATCTCTCTGTTGGCAGACCAGAGTGTCGTGGTGGTAATTCCACATTCATATGGCAGGGACACGTTTATCCACAGGATACCCTCAAGTGGTGTTTTGATTTTATCTCCCCTATTGGCATGATGGGTTTGTGACCCTCGAAAGATTTAACAACCTCACAACCTTCCTACTGTGAGAGCGGAGAATTTTAAACACAGCAACGCAACATGGGCCGATAAAAACAAAGCATTTACAACGTACATTGCAGCGACAAATGTAAAATATATCAATAGTAGACGAACATAACTTAAAACAATAACTTTATCGTAAAGCTGGAGTTGATGTAAAAACACAAAACTAAAAACACGGAAACAATGACAATAATGGCCGTATCGTGTTCAAATTAATATCATCTTCGGCAGGCTTGTTTTTGCCGGGGTTTTTGGGCCATCACTTCTTCGTACAAATCCACCTGTGAACAGAGAAGATAAACGTTGTGGCACCGAACAAGGATAAAACACCAATAACTACGTTGTCTGTGTGCAGATTAATAATCAATCATTGAGCCATTGGCCTAAAAAAGTATCATCGGTATCACCCGGGGTAGAGAAATTGCCAACAATGATTTTCTCGACACATTTTATCTCCAAATGTAGGTATGTTATGTTGAACATCTTTCGCACCGCACGTAGCTGACCGTGCTAATCAGAGGTGACGCTGATGTATTCCGTCACGTTGAATTTATTTCGCACCGCACACAGCCGACCGTGCTAATCGAAGGTGACGACGCTGATGTATGTAGTACTTCTTTCGCACCGTACGTAGCCAAGCATGCTAAATCGAGCGGCGTCAGCCCGGCACGGCTCGGCAGTAACACGCGATGAACAAGTTCGCTAGATGCGCGTCGGTGTACGTATGTTACGTCGAACTTCTTTCACACCGTACGTGGTCAACCCTGCTAAACACGGAGGTGCAGAGGTGACGTGGCGATGTTGCTTCCTCAAGAGTGTGTGCGAGAGCTCGCATCACACGCGGAGAACTTCTCATTAACCTCCGGTTCTACTTAGGCCCCCCTAACCCCCCTCGCCGTGCCCCCCCACACCCCTCGAGCCAGATTCACTGATAATGAGGCCAGCAAAGGCATCACGGTTGGTCGGGGAGGTCGGCGCAGCAAAACGGACAATGAAAATACTCTGAGGTTTTTTCGGTAAAGTCACGTAGGTAAAACATTAAATTAAAAGTTAATAATGGAAATGAAATAATAAATCACTTGATGCAGTAATTTTAGCTGTGACGGTCCCACCTGATGACGGAGACTTGTGTTGCCTCCGAAACGTCGTGACTTATTATTTTATTTCCATTGTTAACTTTTAATTAAAAATTTTACCCTACGTGACTTTACCGAAAAAACCTAAGAGTATGAATCCTTGCAGTCACGAAAGCTTCAAATCTAGAAGACAATGAAAAAACCACTACGCGTACGGCTTGAATGTTGACGTCGGAAGGGAGGTATCAAAACGCTACTCGCCTGCCCAGGAGACAATTGAAACGTCGTGCGTGTGTGTGCAGAGTCAGTCTTTGTTTGGTGAGCGCGCTGCACGATTTACCCACGGCGCCTCAAAGCAACGCGTTGAGTCTCTCTTGCACGGCGTTGAACACCTCCGTGAACAGCGACTCGCGGGAGCTTTTGCCGTCCAAGTGAACTACAAAATAAAAATTTTAAAAAGTCACAACGATGCAAGCAAATACATTTAATAAATTAACCCGTAAAAACAACGTTTTTCACTATAAATCCTTTATATGCGTGGCATCGGTTTTATTTTATTATTCATGTCAGTTTTTCTTGAGTAAGAGTTTCATTTTTATCACATTGATATTCTAAATTAAATATGAAATTTTTTTTCTTCCTAAAAAGTGGAAAATTGTGGAAAAAATTTTTCACGAAAATAAATTGTCACGCACAACGAGTCTGTGTGCAAAATGTCAACTCGATTGGATCATGGGAAGTGGGTTAAAAAACGACCGAAAGATTTGCACGGTCGTAAGCGCGCAAGCAAGCAAGTGAACTTAATATAAAGGATTTAAAAATCACACCGCTGACGGGGGCAACTCGGGAAGCGAGTCATCGATTTCGAATGATATTCCAAGGCTCATGATGCACGGAAAGAATCGTGCGTGTGACGATTATTTTTGGTTCGTGCAAATGTCACCTCTGAGCAAGTGGAGCAGGACAGGGCAGACACACAACGCAGTTGGACAAAATAAACAGGGCAAATGTGACGGACATTAATCAGCGCGGTTAACGTGTGATGCCGAGGTGTTTTTTTTAATGTGGTTGCCTGCCATTTGGTATTCGGATGTCGTATCAGCCCTCTGCAAAGGGAGAGGTTGCTCACCCCTACTCTAGATGCACGCACCAACATCCCTTTATAGATGTACAGTCTGTTGGGACGAGAGCTGTTAGCAAGCGCCGAATGAAGGTCAGCACCACGCCGGCCACCTTAGTCTTGCCCATGCCGATGTTCACACCGCGCCAGGTGCTTATTAAAGCCCGAATCGACGTACTTGGACTCGACTTTTGGCGTCATCTGTTCCAACACCATGTGAGACTAGGCTCTAAAGAAAGCTGTCTCGGGTGTGGACCAATCAATTTTAAGGACAGTGCATACATTATCAGAGTTGTGTTTTTTGTTTGCATTCCGACTGCAGGTATTGTGGTCAATGCAAACATGGCAGTTTTGTTGCCAGATAAAAGGGTAAAAAAACAATTATCATATTTTGCTACTGGCAAATGAGGTTCCAATGGTAACTTGGACTCGTACGTCACAAAGTCCTTGCCTACGTGTACGCATGTTGAACTTCTTTCGCACCGTACGTACGCCAACCGTGCAAATCGGCATTGGTTCAAGCCAGCCCAGAGGTCGCAAACGGGTTTTGATTCCTTACCCGTACCCGGCCGCACCAGGGTCGCAAACGGGTACCCGTACCCGGCCGTACCCGTAACCTACCCGTACCCGGCCGGGTAGGGTACGGGTATCGGGTACCTGATTGCGACCTCTGGGATGAAGCCATGTTTGCAGGCGCGGGTGGGTTGATTCTAGGAACTTGAATTGTGAGAAGAGACAAGACGTTGGGAAATGAGTGACAAACAGTTACTCACCAGTGACTCACGGTCTACCCGTACCCGGCCGCACCAGGGTCGCGGCCGGGTACGGGTAGCCGGGTATCGGGTAGGGTACGGGTATCGGGTACCCGGTTGCGACCTCTGAGCCAGCCTGAATGCCGACGAGAAACTGAACGTCAAAACCAGTGCAGAGTGCCCAGGACAGGTTCAAATATTCGCCGCCGGTGACGGCTGCGAGCGGGAATCGAACGCGAGTTGCCGTGGTTTTGAACTTTGTAGCGTAGCGGCGCTAACCAGTGCGCTCCAAGTGTACACGCACGCGTGCACTCAAACACACGAGCCCGCGTACCAATATTGGCGTCCAGTGCATTCATCTGAGCGCGGTTTTTCAGGTACATGGGCCACACATGAGCGTCAAAGAGTCCCGGCGGGTCCGGAACAGTGTAGTTGCGAGTGCTGCACGCACGCGCGCACACACGGGAATCGCACAATTGGGATTATACACAGCAATCAGCCTCCTACTGGCAGATTAATATCTCCTGCTTGGTGTGTCCCCGCGTTCTTAGCAAGTTGAACTAAATTGACACTTGAAACGTATTCTAGATTTGAAGCTTTTGTGACTGCCAAGGATTCATATTCTTAGGTTTTTTCGGTAAAGTCACGTAGGTAAATAAATTAATAAAAGTTAAATAAAAATAACCGAACCTCACAAAAATAATATTCAGCGCCTACCTTGGCTCCTCCCACCCTCAACCAGTATATATACAAATACTGTGTTCTTGGAATTTCTCTCACTTGATACAGCTATCGTGCTGTGACGGTTTCACCTTTAGACGGAAGCTTGTGTTGCCTCCGAAACGTCGTGATTTTTATTTTATTTTACTTTCATAAATTTTTTACCTACGTGACTTTACCGAAAAAAACCTAAGAATATACTTGAAACGTATTTTTACCTTTTGTAAATGGGCATATTAAGTACGCGCTTCGGATTAAAAGGTGTTTTCATCCATTTCGCACCGATGTCAAATATATTCGTGCCAGCAACAGTGTGGCACGTCACTCAACGCTACGCGACGCCACTTTTAGCGAGAAAAGCTCAGAAGTGATGTCATTAGTGCGACGTCGCTTCCGGCGTTTGGGTCAAGCCGAAACTAAACAAAACTCCAGACCACCGCACCCTCGCCACTCTCCCCTTGCACTGAAGTTCACGGCAGAGGTCGCAAACGGGTTTTGATTCCTTACCCGTACCCGGCCACACCAGGGTCACAAACGGGTACCCATACCCTACCCGTACCCGTTCGTACCCGGCCGGGTACGGGTATCGGGTACCTGAATGCGACCTCTGGGATGAAGCCAGGCTCGAACCTGCTTAATTTCCGAGATCTGACGAGATCCCACGTGCAATTCCGGGCGATGCGGTCAACAGGCGGATCACGTAAAGTCAACGTGGCGTGCATTTTGAGGCCAGGCTCATTTCCACATTCACGTGGCGGCGGGGAGGTGAGTCTGCCCGTACGATGACTGTTGACTCCCGAGAAGGGATAATTCACCCACGCCTACGCCCCCGACACACCAATCAGGATTTTGACCTCAACCTGCATTTCCCATGGGTATGCTGGATTCCTCTTGATATGCAAATTCTTTTGTCAAGGCGCCCCCTTCCCCCCCCCCCTTCCAACCCAGTTTATATATATGCTCCAAGCACGTGTGCTGTTTCATTCAGACGCTGTCGCCTCGACAGACCTGGTTTTCACCTGAGGACGGCTGCTTGCGTTGTGGCCGAAACGTCGTGAGAATTATTTTATTATGTTTTATTTTTATTATTTTATTACTTCCCTTCTACGTGACTTTACCGAAAGAACCAAGAAGATGAATCCCTGCAGTCACGAAAGCTTTAAATCGAAACTCTCAACCTTCTGTTTGCACTCCGCTCACTGAGCCACTTGGCCAGATAAGTCGGCTAAGCAGTCTGTAATTCAATTGGTAGAACAGATTTAGCCGTCCACATTATAGACTTAATAAAGCAGGCTGTGTGTGACTATATAATTGATCAAGGAAATGAGCTGTCTGAGACGACATTGAATTCATAAACTAGATAAGCAGGCTGTGTGCGAGGTGATCATAGAATTGGTAGACTGGACAATCACCTGCGACGCAATTTACACTCTTGGTAAGGAATGCTGATGAAGAACTTCTGGTCAAGGAGATCCATGAGAGGCCTGTGAACGACACGAGAGGGAGAGACACACCGAAGCACGTCTCTTACAGAGTTTCACCATCCTGGCTTCAGGTACAGTGATCCCTCGTTTATCGCGGTTAATGGGGACCGGAACCCCTCGCGATAGGTGAAAATCCGCGAAGTTGGATTGGCCCCCCTAGGAATTTCCGTATATGTGTGTGTGTGGGTACCAGAATGTTTAAAATATGTATATTTATACTTTATATATTTATTTTACTTAAATCTATTTAATTATAAAACCTTAATATTATACATTCACTCTCTCTCTCTCTCTCATACGATACGTATTATGGTGTTCTACACTCTCCAATGACAGTAGTATCTTGAGACTTGACTCCAGTAATGATGACGACGACGATGACAATGACGACGATGACAGACCTGTGCAGTTTGATGAATGTGAAGATGATCATGATGATGGTGTTACTGCACAGGTATAATGAGGCCTTTAAATCAGTTCGAAAAATCCGCGATGCACTGAGGCCGCGAAACTTGAACCGCAAAGTGGCGAGGGATCACTGTATTACCTACATTTCCCGATTACAACCACAGCGCTCTCCTGCCACGTTCTATTCCAAACCAGCGAATTAATTACCCCATTCTTTTCCATCCGGTTACGCACGTCCCACTCATCGGAACCTTTTTTCCTAAGACGTCGACGAAACTTTCCTACCAGTCTATTAAGAAGATTCGAAGTTCCTAACCCAAGCCGCCTTTGGTTCCCCCGAGCTGATGCTTACACCAAGTTGTTATTTCATATTCTTAGGTTTTTTTCCGGTAAAGTCACGTAGGTATAAAATTAAAATTAATAAAAGTTAAATAAAAATAAAATAAAAATCACGACGTTTGAGGCAACACAAGCTTCCGTCTTCAGGTGGAACCGTCACAGCACGATAGCTGTATCAAGTGAGAGAAATTCCAAGAAACAGTCCTTGTATATATACTGGTTGAGGGTGGGAGGAGCCAAGGTAGGCCCTGAATAATATTATTTTTGTGAGGTTCGGTGCGGCTGAAGCACGCTGCTAGGAATGAGCCTTTGTTGTGTAAACTAGGTGCGGATGATGTAAAGGTGCGGGTAAAAGGGACTGAGCCTTTTTGTTATGTAGAGGTGGTGCGGCTGAAATCGCTGCCAGGAAATGAGCCTCCATATTTCATGCCGAGTCGGAGCTACTGTGACCCATATCAAACAGAGAGCCCGATAAGCAACTGGAAGCTCATAGGCCCAGGATCAGTTCAGGATTTTTGCCGCAGAGATTGGCCATGAATGGGATTCAAACTCTGGATCGCAGGATTCATAGCGCAGTGCAACTCACCAAAACAAGCACACGACACTCGTGCAGACAAAGATCCCCCATATAGCCTGAACAGACTGTTGGAGCAAGTGCCGTTAGCAAGCACATGAGAGGGTGAATGGCCAGCACCACACCCAACCACCTTTGTGTCCCCAGTGGCGATTCTTACACACTGCATTTGAGGCCGAGTTGACCTAGGGGAGTCCCAGGACAGATTCAGATTATTCGTCACTGGTGTTGGCCATGAGCGGGAATCGAACTCGGGTGGCCGGATTCGTAGCCCAGCGCGCTAACCGCTGCACCACCGCTCCCCTACATACAAAGATCCCCCGTGTAACCTTAACAGACTGTAGGGGCAAGTGCTGTTAGCGAGCACCTATGAAGGCCAGAACGGTACACGAGGGGGTGGGTGGCCAGCACCACGCCCGACCGCCTTTGTCTCCCCAGTGGCGATGTTTACACACCAAACCAGGTACTCATTTCAGGCTGAGTCGACCTAGGGGAGGCCCAGGACCGGTTCAGATAATCGTCACTGGTGTTGGCCGTGAGCGGGAATCGAACCCGGGTCGCTAGGTTCATAGCGCAGCGCGCTAACCGCTACACTATCGCTCCCCACTACATACACACACAGACACACGCGCACAGATTCCCCGAGCCCTCCACTCACGGGTAGGTGTAGAGTAGGAAGCCCTCGACGATGAGAATGTGCAGGCGGGAGTCTGTGTCCTTGTCCTCAATCTCAGTCCCTGTGGCCTCCACGCCGTGCGACAGCGCAAACTTGTGTGGGTTCTCCACCCAGGCACGCACCGTCGCCACCATCGCCTCCATGTCCAGGGCCTCCAGGGCTGTGTATGCCCAGTGAAAAGGTGGTGGGGGAAGGAGGGGGGGGTGGGTGAGGGAGGCGAGGAGGATGAGGGAAAGGATGGATTAAGGAAGTTAAGGGGGGGGGAGGGGTTGATGAGAGGAAAGAAAGAGGAGGGAGATTTAAGGGGGAAGAGATGAAAGAACGGCAGATGAGTTGGAGATGGTTGTGAAGGAGGGCACGCGAGAGAGAAGAGGGGAGAGGGAGATGAGGGGGGAGGGAGAAATTAGGGGATGGGGGCGAGGACCAACAGGGCATATTAGAGGTCTTAAAGGCTCTTCAATTGATTGTCATTGGCGAATTGATACACGCCTTTTGAGCTGTGCAAATATGCAAGCACTCACTGTCGTACTGCTTGAATCCATCCGCACCAATGGCAATCTGGTCCTGGGGCTGCAGAGAGACACACCCGTCAGACGCATACAACACGAGGTTGGGATATATATTTAGCGTCTACATGCGACCGCATCTCCAGACACTGTCGCGAAAGTGAGGATATTTATTGTCGTCATAGACAAAAATAATGATTCTAGGTTTGAAGCTTTCGTGACTGCAAGGATTCATAGTCTTAGGTTTTTTTCGGTAAAGTCACGTAGGTAAGACATTAAAATTAATAAAAGTAAAATAAAATAAAAATCATGACGTTTCGGAGGCAACACAAGTCTCCGTCATCAGGTGGGACCGTCACAGCCAGATTTGCTGCATCACTTGATGCAGCAAATTTGTGTTGCCTCCGAAACGTCGTTATTTTTTTATTTTATTTTACTTTTATTAATTTTAATGTTTTACCTACGTGACTTTACCGAAAAAACCTAAGAATAAAAAACCCTTCTGTTGAAACGGAAATAGAAATAAAACATAAGAAAATAATAATTATATTTTTTTTACATAATATTAGTATATATTTTTTTATGTCTCATTTTTAGTATTGTATTATTTCCCTTCTACGTGACTTTACCGAAAGAACCAAGAAGATGAATCCCTGCAGTCACGAAAGCTTTAAATCGAATTTTTTTATGTTTCATTTTTATTATTGTATTATTTCCCTTCTACGTGATTTTTTAATGAATAAAAGTACAGCTATCGTGCTGTGACGGTTCCACCTGAAGACGGAAGCTTGTGTTGCCTCCGAAACGTCGTGATTTTTATTTTATTTTACTTTTATAAAAAAATTTACCTACGTGACTTTACCAAAAAAACCTAAGAATGTAAAAATAATGGTCTTGGGCATGGGACTTAACAAAGAGGGCAGGGTGGCGAGTCGACAACATGGATGGCTGAGCACAGAAGTGGCTTCACAGATGATGGGAGTAGCAGAGCAGACCCACAGAGACGGAGAATAATACGTACAGACGGATGCCAAAGAAAGGTGACGGATAAACAGGTACAGTGAAACCTTGGATTGCGAGCATAATTCGTTCTGGTAACGTGTTTGCAATCCAAAGCACTCGTATATCAGTTGTGATCACGTGAAGCTCAGCAGACAAAGCGTATACACGTGCTACTCGTATTGCAAGACCTCGCTCGTTTATCAAATTAATATTTATTTTAAAAATTTTGCTCGTCTTGCAATACACTCACAGACCAAGTTACTCGCAATCCAAGGTTTTTCTTTACGCAAAAAAAGGCTTCGTCGTATCGCAGAGAGAGTGATGTTACTCGACAAGACAGACACGGTATAGAGACGTCAAACGGCGATGTTTAAATTTCACAAATTGGAGTGATCCACCAAAGGGCTTTCAGAGGACTGGAGATCAGCACAGCTGGCTGATACAGATGGGGTCATCCCCATGTCTCACATCCCTGTTTCAGTTCCATATTTCTGACAACCCCATGGGCTCATATCCATCTCAGTCGTCTGTCGTCCCCCGTGTCTCTCTCGTCCCCGTGTCTCTCCCTCGTTCCCCGTGTCTCTCTCTCGCCCCCCGTGTCTCTCTCTCGTCCCCGTGTCTCTCTCTCGTCCCCGTGTCTCGCTCTCGTCCCCGTGTCTCTCCCTCGCCCCCCGTGTCTCTCTCTCTCCCCCGTGTCTCTCTCTTCTCCCCCGTGTCTCTCTCTCTCTCTCCCATGTATGTCTCTCTCCCAAGTCTCTCGCTCGTCCCGTGTCTCTCTCTCTCTCCCCCGTGTCTCTCTCTCGCCCCATATGTCTCTCTCGTCCGTATCGCCCTCTCGTCCGCGTGTCCCCATCTCATAACCCACCTTAAAGAAGTCATCCTGGTGGACAACGCAACAGTTGGACAACACCTTCATCAGGTGATTCGTGAGCGTAGTCTTACCCCCGTTAGTCACTCTGCCGACAGGGGGAACAAAGTGGCACAATACACATTATTTTATATAGCACCTGAAAGCATTTGGAAGATATTTCACAGATTAAACGATAACAGCAAACCGGCAATGCATCTTTGAAGTATTAAAACAGATAAGTAAAATAGATTTGAAGCTTTCGTGACTGCAAGGATTCATACTCTTAGGTTTTTTCGGTAAAGTCACGTAGGTAAAAATAAATACAATTATAGAAATACAATTATTTTTATTTTATTAAAATAGAAATAATAGAAATAAAAGCATTTCTATTTTATTTATATAATTTCTATTATTTTTATTATTTATTTTTACCTACGTGACTTTACCGAAAAAACCTAAGAGTAGATAAGAACACGTAAATAAAAACCTCTCTCCATTCCCACCTCCCCCTCGTTTTTATCATTATTCGATCAAAACGTATTTTATCGAATCTAGAACGCTTACATTTTCCTCAAGAAACACTTCGTTTGGTCAAAATAAACACGTTTGATTTAAATACAAAAGAAACAAGATCTATTTCACTCGGATAGATATTTAATCAAAAGTGAAACTCTTTGATCAAACGGTCAAAAATTGACAGATTTGAGCAAAAAATAACCACTCGCCATATTCGTATAATATAACAAATATATATCAAACTTATTTGATAAATAAGCCGAATTACCGTCAAGGCGAAAGTGAATTACAACACCCATTTAAGCGATATAATCACAACGTACGCATTCGCCCTTTCACGCAATTTTAACACAGACACAACTACAAAGGTAAACTTTGTATAAGAGTATCGCTAAAACGAAGTATTTTGTCGGGTTTTCCCTCAGAAATGTTGGTTTCAAGCGTCAAAACGTGTACAGTGACACGCTTTGCTTGGCGCCAATTTCAGATAACAATTTCAAATTTGGCGGCAAAATGTCGCAATATCGATAACATTTGCGGCGCGTTAATGTTACGAACTTGCCAACGTTCAATAACATGTTTGGACACACTTGCTGTTAAAACTATTCCGCGCTACGCCTATTTGTTTACAAATTGATGTAAAATATCGCTAAATTATAACTTTCTCGTTCGTATCGATTCCATTACTCTCGACATCGATTACTTCTAGCGCGATAACGCAGGCAACCTTAGAGGAATCGATTCTTATCTCGATTACACCACTAACCGATTCCTTAAGCATTGCGGGTGGGCTGAGTCGATTCCTGTATTGAAACACTTAAACGCGCTAATGGAATCGCCGGAAAGCCAACTGTAATGCATAACCGCGCTTAGTGTTAACTTAAACTTTACGAGTTATTACAATTAACAAGCGGACTTTGACAACCTGCTAACAACTTCACAAGACGTCGCAAAGTTAACCCGAGTCGACAAATTTGAAGGCCGCGCTCACTTACCCGCCAATAGCAATGATGAACTTCATGATGAGAATGTATGAAACTTTCGATTTAAAGTTAATAATTTACTAAACACTTAACAATTAAAAAAAAAACGCAAACAGTCACTGCTTACGTTTAAAGCAAAGGCTACCTACTACTTTCACTCATAGCTGTAAGTTTAAAGTATACACTTTATATACTTTGCTATAATTAAGGACTTCTAAGAAACGCTAAACCGCCTTAAACCTGACGCAACTGCACAATGTCAGGGGAGGGTCCCCTATTTATACCGGCGGCGTGACGTCACCCCGATGGGCGTGGCTATGACGTAGAAGCCCCGCCCCCTTCCTCGGGCACGTGCGTCGGATATACATAGACCTCGTGGCAAAATCATTAATGTACTACTGGGACCCTATGGAGGGGGGGTATGCACACGTGGTAAGATGCCCTTTTGAGAGCCACCTGAGGTGTCTGGGTTATGGGTTGCGCGTGGTGGGCGTGTGAGGAATGGGGGCGGCGCGGGGGGGGGGGGTTGTTTGGGGTTAGGCGAAGGGGATAGATCGGTTCTGATCGGAAATAGATGTTCCGTGTCTGGTTTGGCTGGTGTGGTTAGGGTTAGTGTCTGGTTTGGCTGGTGTGGTTAGGGTTAGGGCTAGTGGCTGGTGTAGTTAGGGTTAGTGACAGTATCTAGTGGCTGGTGTGGTTAGGGTTAGGGCTAGTGGCTGGTGTGGTTAGGGTAGTGTTTGGGTGGATGGTGTGGTTAGGGTTAGGGTAGTGTTTGAGTGGCTGGTGTGGTTAGGGTAGTGTTTGGGTGGATGGTGTGGTTAGGGTAAGTGCAGTGTCTGGGTGACTAGTGTGGTTCGGGTTAGTGCAGTATCTGGGTGGCTGGTGTGGTTAGGGTTAGTGCAGTGTCTGGGTGACTAGTATGGTTAGGGTTAGGGCTAGTGGCTGGTGTGGTTAGGGTCAGGGCAGTGACTGAGTGGCTGGTGTGGTTAGGGTTAGTGTCTGATTTGGCTGGTGTGGATTAGGGTTAGTGCTGTGTTTGGGTGGCTGGTGTGGTTAGGGTTAGTGCCATTGTCTGGTTTGGTTAGGGCTAGGGCAGTGTCTGAGTGGCTGGTGTGGTTAGAGTCAGGGTCAGTGTCTGGTTTGGCTGATGTGGTTAGAGTCAGGGCAGTGTTTGGTTGGCTGGTGTGGTTGTGGTTTCTCTCAGTGTATGGTTTGCCTGGTGTGGTTAGGGTCAGGGCCAGTGTTTGGTTGGCTGGTGTGGTTGTGGTTTCTCTCAGCGTCTGGTTTGGCTGGTGTGGTTAGGGTCAGGGCCAGTGTTTGGTTGGCTGGTGTGGTTGTGGTTTCTTTCAGTGTCTGGTTTGGCTGGTGTGGTTAGGGTCAGGGCCAGTGTTTGGTTGGCTGGTGTGGTTGTGGTTTCTCTCAGCGTCTGGTTTGCCTGGTGTCTGATTTCTGACGCACCCTGACTGGACATCGGTGACAAAGAACTTCAAAGGTCATCAAATTCTTCCAAGATAAATAAAGATTCTGCTTCTGCTTGGCTGGTAATGGTTAGGCATTGGGCTTGAAGCAAGTGGTTGGTTGGTGTGGTGAGTGCCAGAGAACAAGATTAGGGTCGTACGTACACACACGTTGAACTTCTTTCGCGCCGTACGTAGCCTAACCGTGCGCTAATCGGAGGGTCTAGATGGGACTTGAGCATGGCATTTAACATCAGCCCTCGCTGTCAATGAACAATCCACCCTCTTTCCTCCTGCTCCAACCGGCTGTGTGATGATGGATTGTCGGAGGAGCGTTGGAAAAGTTCCCGAATCGGTGGCCAACTCTGGCTTGAGGTCGGAGGTCAAAACGATAAATCGGTTGCGAAAAACAAAAGCCGCTTCATCATTTCATCGGCCGCCTAAATACCGAGTGGAAACTTCGACACGCAGTCGTAATCGCAGGGCTTTTTTGCCACCAATATTATCCACAGTAGGTTTTCTTTTTGGGGGTTTCGATCGCCTAAATTTAAAGGCGCCGTTCAACCCGCCAACACCCCGACACAGCTAAATTGGTAAAGGGTTTTGTCGCGTCACGCACAACATGCAAATCCGTTACTCGCGCAGCACTAACCGGTTGCGTGTCGCAGAGTAAATCCGCGACAACATTTACAATTCTAGTACTACGGAGACTTTTCGATTCAAAGCTTCTTTCGTGACTGCAGGGATTCATCTTCTTGGTTCTTTCGGTAAAGTCACGTAGAAGGGAAATAATAAAATAATAAAAATAAAACATAATAAAATAATTCTCACGACGTTTCGGCCACAACACAAGCAGCCGTCCTCAGGTGAAGAACAGGTCTGTCATTCAGACGCTGTCTCCCCAACAGACCTGTTCTTCACCTGAGGACGGCTGCTTGCGTTGTGGCCGAAACGTCGTGAGAATTATTTTATTATGTTTTATTTTTATTATTTTATTACTTCCCTTCTACGTGACTTTACCGAAAGAACCAAGAAGACACTACGGAGACCTCGCCGGTAAAGTGCAGCTCTGGAAGAAACCTGGTCAACAAAAAAAAAACTTTTTTTTCTGGCCTGGACTTTTGCAGCCGTTTAAGACTAATTTCAGGGTGCTGATTCCAAATCTGATCTGCTCTATCACATCTACTTTTTATGCTATCGGCATACCCCATTTTCATTGATTTTACCCGAAATTAACTCTGTCACTTATGATTGCAAGTTGTTGCGAGTCGGTGACTGCTTTAGTGTTAAAATACGGTGCTATGTTTGTAGGATAGTGCGTTTATAATAGAATTTTATGTAGATATCCACATTTATTTAATATTTTTCTTCTGCAGTTTTTATTGAAAATGCAATATTTGATATCTCAAAAACCTTATGTGATAGACACAAACTGATGCCAGATTTGGAATCAGCACCCCAAAATTACCTTAAACCCGTTGGAATACCTTATGCCAGAAAAAGTGTGTTGACCAGTATAATGAACAAGTCTGTGAAGACTGCAAGGCATCTACCAAGGCCGGCACGGCACGCCAACACCACGCCTTTGTCTTTGTCTCCCCCAGTGGCGATGTCAACACATCTCATCAGGAACTCAATTGAGGCTGAGTCGACCTAGGGGAGGCCCAAGGGCCGGTTCAGATAATCGCCACTGGCGTTAGCCGTGAGCGGGAATCGAACCCGGGTCTCCGGGTTCGATTCCCGCTACAGCCACCACGCATCCTACAAAGATAGCGACGCTGCGAGCAGTTGGACAAAATCCATGGTTGTAGTGTACGTCTATGTCACCCTCATCAACCCCTCCCCCCCCCCCCAATATCTTCACCTACCCGCAATGGCCTGGCTGGTGAAGTTACGGTCCGAAATCCCAATGGCAGGCACACGGTGTGTGGGGTGCAGGCACTCACTCATCCAGCAGTGCATTGACGGGAACAAGGGGTGTTCGCACGCGCTGTTTATAGAACGGGCCTTGTAACCCTTCTGTCGATGTCTCGATGGTGTCGTCACGCCGCTCGTTGGCACCACGTGGCACGATTTACGTTGACGAAACTCGAGGAGGTCATTGGCACGAGCAGTGCCGGATTATCGTAGTGGCACAAGTAGCTACATATGTAGTAGTAGCAGCAGCTACTGCTGAGTCTATGGGCAGTGTTGAGTCTATGGGTAGTGTTGAGTCTATGGGCAGTGTAGAGTCTATGGGTAGTGTTGAGTCTATGGGCAGTGTTGAGTCTATGGGCAGTGTTGAGTCTATGGGCAGTGTTGAGTCTATGGGCAGTGTTGAGACTATGGGTAGTGTTGAGTCTATGGGTAGTGTTGAGTCTATGGGTAGTGTTGAGTCTATGGGTAGTGTTGAGTCTATGGGTAGTGTTGAGTCTATGGGCAGTGTAGAGTCTATGGGTAGTGTTGAGTCTATGGGCAGTGTTGAGTCTATGGGCAGTGTTGAGTCTATGGGCAGTGTTGAGTCTATGGGCAGTGTTGAGACTATGGGTAGTGTTGAGTCTATGGGTAGTGTTGAGTCTATGGGTAGTGTTGAGTCTATGGGTAGTGTTGAGTCTATGGGTAGTGTTGAGACTATGGGCAGTGTTGAGTCTATGGGCAGTGTTGAGACTATGGGTAGTGTTGAGTCTACGGGTAGTGTTGAGTCTATGTGCAGTGTTCAGTCTATGGGCAGTGTTGAGTCAATGGGCAGTGCTGAGTCTATGGGCAGTGTTGAGTCTATGTGCAGTGTTCAGTCTATGGGCAGTGTTGAGTCAATGGGCAGTGCTGAGACTATGGGTAGTGTTGAGTCTACGGGTAGTGTTGAGTCTATGTGCAGTGTTCAGTCTATGGGCAGTGTTGAGTCAATGGGCAGTGTTGAGTCTATGGGCAGTGTTGAGTCTATGTGCAGTGTTCAGTCTATGGGCAGTGTTGAGTCAATGGGCAGTGCTGAGTCTATGGGTAGTGTTGAGTCTATGTGCAGTATGTATGTTGAACTTCTTTCGCACCGTACGTAGCCCTACCGTGCTAATCGGAGGTGCAGTGTTGAAGTTTATTGCAGGAAACCGCACAGTTTGATAGACCTACTGCGGACTGAGACATTACGTCCTGCCTTGATGTGTGGGAGAGGTAGCGAACCAGGCAATGCGAAGTGCCGTGTTGAAATAATTTTCTTCCGAGATTTGTTCAAAATTTTTTTAAGCGTTCCTACCCGAGCCATTTTCAGTTCGGGGCCGTCCATAAATGACGTCACGCGATTTTGGACGAGTTTTGACCCCCCCCCCCCCCTCGTCACACGGCGTCACACAAAGTCAGACCCCCCCCCTCAAATATGACGTCACAAAGCTCTGCCCCCCCCCCCCCAAAACCATATTTCCATTTTGAAAATAAAACACGCTTCAAATCGCTTTAAACTATTGTCATTGTAGTGCGTATTTAATGTGGCGCTGCACTCTGATGTTGTAGGAGAAAACATTTATTAAAAAGTCTGTTTACTTAAGTAGAACGTGTTGTCTATATTTATTTGAAGTTGCGCATTTTGATGTGACGTCACATTTCTCAAACCGCCCCCCCTCGTCACACATCGTCACAAATGTCTGACCCCCTCCCCCCCCTCTAGGTGCGTGACGTCATTTATGGACGGCCCCTAAATACACAGAACGAGGTCACCTCGAGAACACGAACAACGGAACACTCGTGATCATAATACAACCACGAAGTCAATTGCACAACTTGGTTAGTCCACTGCTGGATGAAGGCCTCCCCACGCTAC